TTTAGGGTTAGGTTTAGGGTTAGGTTTAGGGTTAGGTTTAGGGTTAGGTTTAGGGTACTGAGTGCTTGGGAATGCCCGGATTTGCCCTCCGCGATTATGTCATCGCGGTAGGGTCGCATTTTTCCTTAGCGCTTCGAACGGCGCGAATTAGTCTTCGCACTTATGTCTCCGCGGATAAGGGCTTCGCGGATTTGTGGTGGAACCGTTCAAGGGACCTACATTCAAGTTTACGATCAGTTTCTCAACATGTGTTTGTATTTATTATGGGAAATACGTGTCAATAGCAATGTGGTAATCTATAGTAAACAAATTTATGTCCTGCCATTTATTCTTATTATTGTTTTTCTACCTCTTTAATCAGTATTCAGTTAAGTTTCATTAGGGCGTGGCAATTGAGAGTGAGTTTTAATTTGAGTTTTACTATGCACTATTGGGCAAGAGAGAGAAGATACACAGAATGTTTGCTTTCAGTGTGGATACTACGCACCTTCTAAAAATATAGAGTTGAGAGATCATCCAATGAGAAACTACCAAGCTTCTAAAGAAATTGAATGATATCAAAATACATTGTAGGAATATGTATGCATCTTTAAAATGCCGAAATAAATGAAATATGTAGAATAAAATTTAAAAAACTAAAAACAATGCTGTATGATTTTACAATTATGCATCTAAAAAACAGAGTTCTTTCTGAAAGCATGTCAAGTCCATTCTTTCCTCTTCTTCCAAGGACCCCCCTTCACGCTGCTGCCTTTGCAGACAACATCCATGGTTTACAATTGCTTTTGCAACACCAGGCTGAGGTAGATGGAACTGACCAATTGGGGAGGACCCCTCTTATGATGGCTGCTGAAAATGGCCAGACGGCAGCAGTTGGTAAGTGGTGCATTTTCTGTATTTATGCTTTTTTGTTTTTCCCCAACTATCCTATCATATTAGCTTAAGAGAATCCATAAAAATAGGTATATATCTTTGAAGTCTTCTCTTGGTCCAGCATACATCCGATACTGTCTGGTTCAGTTTCCTGCTAAGATCATTTCTGATAATATATATTGACTAATTTTCCCAAAGGTGCTTTTTCAAGAGGCAACTGGACTTTCTGGTTTTTCGTTGACGATGTTTTGCTTCTCATCCAACTCATACTGAGCTGAAGAAGCATCTTGGATGAGAAGCAAAACATCGTCAAAGAGATACCATAAAGTCCAGTTGCCTCTTGAAAAAGCACCTTTGTGACAATCATGATTGAGAATCTCCATAGACATTTGACTAATTTGTTTTGTAAAGATCTAAATATTGTAGATATTCTCTTGGTTTTGGGAATAACTTTCTGTATTTATTTGCAAATTATGTTTTCCTTCTTAGTCTACTGAAGGGTAGTCATCTTTCTGTCTATCATCATCCTAGGGAAGAATTAGGAGCAATACTTGTGCTCATGTGAGCACTTCCATGAATTTTGCATGATATATTTGTGCCTGAGATCAATTTTTTTCTCCCACCATCCAGAAATAGCAACAATATGCTGTTTTCTTCCAGCATCTTTGACATAATATGAATAGCTACACTTTGCCTCACTCTAGACCAGGGGTCCCCAACCACTGGGCTGTGATCCGTTCAAAACCAGATTGTCCAAGCGGGCAAACATGTAAACACACACAGCTCCACTTGCATGCCTGTTACTTGTGCGAATGCATCTGCATGTGTGAGTGCATTTATCCGCTGTTTGCATGGAAAGATTCCCTCTTCGTTCCCCACCACCAGTGCCAGTTCACAAAGCCAGAAAGATTGGGGACCGCTGCTCCAGACCCAAGCCTGCTTTGGCTTGCAGGGGGAAGCAAGAAGGCCAGCTGAAGGGTCTCTGGTTATTTGAGTGCAGGATTCCTTCCAACCTAGAGGATGGTTGAGATCAGAGGAGCTAACTGCTACTTAAAGTCCACTCCTAGTTATTCTTAAGAAATCTAACTATCTCTTTACAATTTTAGGAGTGACCTAATTATGCAAATCATTTGCAAACAGGTTTCAGGCATACTACAATTATGGAGGTCTATGGAGATTCTCCATAGAGAATTGTCTCCAAGGCGCTTTTCAAAAGGCAACTGGCTATGTCTTGGACGAGAAGCAAAATGTCGTCTTCCTCAAGGGAAAAAACATAGTCCAGTTGTCTTTTGAAAAAGCACCTTTGAGACAACCATTATGAAGCCTTCCACCATCAACATTTTGTAACATGTAAAGGTTAGAATTGTGGAAAGGTTTAATGTTATTTGAGGGTGAACATAAAAAGATAAGAGCAAAAAGAAATGTCACAAGCCAGTGCGTTGGCTCTCTATATCTTGAGATACAGAGTTTAACTTCAGTTCCTTTGCTTTCTGGTTCACCTTTCTGCCTTGATGGTGGAATTTTGAAATACCTTCTCCAGTATGATTCCCTTTCTGGCAAAAGCCAAATTATTTCAGAGGACGGTGACATCAATCTAGTGGTATAGAAGTTATCTGTCTTCATATTTTGGATTAAGCTGCCCTGCTTTTTCATTTTTCTCATTTACCATTTTAATGTTGGAAGTTGGCTTCTATGATTTTGGGGTGAATGGCTTATAAGAATCTTTTAAATAAGTATAGGCAATATTTATGTTGCATTTCCACAATTTTCAGAGTTCCTGCTGTACAGAGCAAAAGCAGATCTAACTGTGCTGGATGTCAACAAGAACACAGCTCTTCACCTGGCCTGCAGTAAGGTACAATGTCCAAAAGTGGGACCTATAAAATTGCTTTTTGGGGGGACTATTTTCTATAGAATTTTAATATGCAAAATTGGAAATTATGATGAAAGTGATGCCAGATGTGATTAAATGACTTTATTTCAAAATAATGAGTTTATGTAATTATTGGGAAGAAAAATGACCCACTAGAGTTAAAAAAAAAGGTTTATTAAGAATTTACAGAGTAAAAGGCAAGGGAGGTGGGAGGAGGAGGAAGGCAGATTATGAATTATAATTATTTTTCAATTAATTTTAATTGCAATAGTAAAAACTAATGCAAGTAAAAGAAAAGTATAAACACAGAAAGAATAAAACATGCAAATGGAAAAAAGAAAAGCTGTAAAGAAAAGAAAAAAAGATAGTAAGAAGAAATAGAAGTGACTACCAACCTTCATCACAAGTGATAACAATTTTAGTATCCTTTCACCTTCTTTTAAATCACAACAAATAATCTCTTTTTGCCACACCCAATTTCTTGATCTGTCTTTGTGCAGAGAAATGTGAAGAACTGGTCTACTCACTGGCTCTTCATTCATTGCTGTGATTATGAGTTCTGTTTTTTTGCAAAGCCATCTGTAGCCTTACCTTTTCTACAGAATGAATGAATACATGACTGCATGAATTAAAAAAATGAAGCTATCTAAAATTATGACTTCTGATCTTTTCAGTATATAATTACAATCTTACAACCCCCCCTTTAGATTTTATCTTATACAAGTCTGATCACCCCCTCATTTAATTCATATTTTTTTTAAAAATCTTAAAACCCATATATCATTTTGTTTCTTCTTTCAGCAAAAAATCCATGTAAGTTTTCCATTCTTTCAGAAAAGTTACCCGGGAATGATATTTATGGTTGTAATAGAATGATAATTGAAGGCCAGAAATCTGCCCAAATTCTTGAGAAAACCCTTTTGATGATAGATGGACAGTATTGTTGGTTTCCTGTTTTATTGCTGAACTCACGCTAATAATAGAGCAAATGTAATCTTCATTTTCTCCCACTAGGAGACAGTGCAGCATACTTTCAAATAGAAATAATCCATCAGCATATAATATTTTCTAGCTCCTTTGTCATACTTTAACCAGGGGTGGGTTGCTTCCGGCATTATTGCCGGTTCAATGCACGCAGAAATTTTGTGTGCGACACTTTTCTCATGCACACGTCAGACATGAGCCTCTGCACATGTGCAAAACATTAAAATAAGAAAAAAATGTGCATTTACGATTATTCTGTGCATGCACAGAACCGAAAATCAAAATCGCAGCCCTGTAGGAGAACCGGTTCAGGGGTGTGGCAGAACAGAGTCTCAGCCAGTTCCAGCAACCCAGGCCGCCAAACCACTACCGGTTCAGCTGAACCAGTCCAAAGAAGTAGGAACCCACCTCTGACTTTAACCCCCTCTCCCCAAACCATTGTTTAAAGTTTAGAATTTTCTTATTGGGCTTACGTATTCCTGTTTCTGTTAATTCTGTGTTTTATATCCAGGCTTACTTTATTGTAGCCCATTGTGGCAAAGCACATTGACTTGCATGAAAAGGCCATAATAAGAAACCCGTGACATATTCCTTATCAGAATTAAACTGCACAGCTGAGTTCAATTTCGGACTTCTTTTATCTTTTCTTTCCAGGGTCATGAAAAGTGTGCCTTGTTGATTCTGGGGGAAACCCAAGACCTTGGCCTTATCAATGCAACAAACAGTGCTCTACAGATGTAAGTACTCACACAGCCTATGGAAACCAGCAAATGTTTCCCTACACTTTGTTTCCTATCAGTTATTACTAATGAGTTGGGGAAATCATCATCTTAGTTGATTGTAATGTGGGAAAAACACATTTTTATCTTTAAAAAAAAATTGTATGGCCACCCATCTTAGACAATTCTGGGTGACTCACACATCGATCCTTAGGCTGACAAGAGTTGCAGTGAAGCTCCATATATGTAGAACAGGCTGAGGGCAGCTGTACATTGAGCCACAAAGTACACTTAGTTTTTCTGAGCCATTTTTTTCCCTTCACAAATCCTCTCAGTGCCAAATGTTCTTGTTGCTACATGGTCTATGTCCATGAAACAGACTTAAAACAAGATGGATTGACAGCATCAGCAAGTATTGTGAGCCCTATTGACAAAAGAAAGCTCAGAACCATATAGGTTGGAAACATGCAGAAGAGGCCTTCATCCTGCAGTGGATACACAATGGCTAAGATGATAATGATGATGATATGGCGTATATATTTTTGAGGCCATACAAAAGTGAGCTGTGGAGAAGGTCCTGTTAGTGCAATGGCAGTGGAATTTGAGAATCTAAGTAAATATTAAATGTTTCTCTTTGCAAGGAGGAGAGCAGTGAAGTGAGATTGGGATGCAAGAATCTTGAATTTGGCCAATAGCATAACCATCCTTTCTCTTTCCACTGCACACAGGCCACTCCATATTGCAGCTCGAAACGGATTGGCCTCTGTTGTCCAGGCTCTGCTGAGCAGAGGTGCCACTGTGCTTGCTGTGGATGAAGAAGGTATGCATCATTCACATCTGGAAGCTCAAGGCAAGAGTTCGTTTAGTATGGGGGGGGGGTGGATGGGACGACAACAAAGTTTGATGCAGTAAAGATACCTGTCAAGGCAGGAAGTCAAGAGTCCAGGCAGTTCAAATGAATACATAGGTTTATTATACGCGAAAACTGTACAAGAATCTGAACTACTAACAATCAAAGCAAATTGGTAGCAGATAAGAGTCAATAGAATTCAAGATGGTCTGGACTTAGATCTCTTGTTGGAAGTGAATGGACTCGAGACTGATAACATGTTTGACTCACTCATTCAGATTCAGCCTGGTCAACTCCTGCAATATCTATCTTGATCTGTCTAAGACAGCTTTCCAATCTGACACTCTCCAGATGTGTTGTAACTATCATAGATATTCCAGTCCTCACAGCCAGTGGAATTATGAGAGTTCCAGTTGTAAAGGGGAAAGTTTGGTGTAGTGATTCTTTGTCAAGACAGAATTCAATATTGTGAACTATTGTGTATAGAGATTCAGATTCCTCAGAAATAATATTGTAGAGTTGGATTTTCCTCCAGCCCTTTGATTAAGGTGGATGATGGGCTCCATGGTGAAATGTTTGTCTAGCAGAGTATTATTTTGCTAATGCTATGTACACTTGGTTTTTTTTCCTAGTGGTTGTTGTTCTTAACTATTTTTAGTATTGTATGCCTCCCAGAGTCAATATGAAGCCAAGTGGCTTTTATAAAGGACCTGCATATTATAAAAATGTGGATATGGAGATGATTTTTTTACACGAAAATTAAACTCAGTGACTGGTGTTAAGGACAAGAAGATTTCTGAGAAGTTAAAAATGATTTGCACAGCACTTGGCTAAACTGTGGTGTTTGTTGCCATGAGTTAGTTTCCACTTAGATTATTTGAAAAGGGGGTGAAACAGATTCATGGCTCTCAGAACAAGAAGTCCTGAACTTAGGACCACAATTGAGAGCAGAATCTTAGTTATTGAGCAAAGCAGTCATTAAGTGAGATGTCACATGACTGCTTCGCTTAGTGACTGCAGTCTGGCAGTCCAGTTGTAGCTGTTGAGCAGTCTCATTCATTAAGAGGATGGAGTCCCAGGTAGGGACAATGGAGTGCTTGGTGGTGGGGGGGGGGAGCGACACTGGGAGGCCTGGCAGAGGCTGTGCATGAGGATCTGTCCTCTTAGGAGCAGAAAATCCTACCTGCCAAAACCCAAGCAGCATTTTCAGCCCATAGGTTGGAGAGACACTTGTATGTAATCTATGCTGGGCCTCCGGCATCCCCCTGAAGCCCCCCACATTCCTTATATTATCCCACTGCATCTCATCCCTGGGGACTGGCTGAAAGAGCTCCCTCCTGAAGAGTTTCAGCTCTGTAGTCTGCTTGGGTTTCAGTAGGGAGCTCTTTCAGCCAGTCCTCCAGAGACAAGAGGGAGTCTCGTCAGCATGTGGCAGCCAGAGGCATGCAACCTTTCCAGCTGACTTCCCCATTGACTTTCTGGGGAAGGCAGCAGAAAAGATTGTAAATTGTGATCACATGATTGCTGGGTGCTTGGCAACCGGTCACAAGTGAATAGGTTGCCAAGCATCCAGATTGCAATCACATGACGTGTGTGTGTGTGTGTGTGAGGGGGGGGGAGAGAGAGGCAGAGAGAGAGAGATTTTGCAATAGACTGATGTACTTTACAAGTTATAAAGTGCCTTTCCTGAGGCCATTGTTAATTTTAACCATTGCTAAGTGAACTTTCAGGTGATAACTCAAGGACTACCAGTACCTCTCAGCCTTAATGCCTGCTGTCTCCCGAATTTTAGGCAGGATGCTTTTTCTTTCTAATTAAATAGAAACTGTGTCATCTTAAAATGCCTGCTTCTGTTGAAAATATATATTCCATATTTAATGGAAGGAATTCTGAACAGATAGTCCAAACTGGCCCTTTAATTTATAATCTGCTGGGCCCCTTTTCCCAGGAATGGTTCTGCTTTTGTTGTTGTTGCTGTTGTTGCGTGGAACTGAACTTGCTTGTCTTTTCTAGGCCATACCCCAGCCTTGGCTTGTGCCCCCAACAAAGACGTTGCTGACTGCCTGGCACTTATCCTTTCCACCATGAAGCCTTTTCCACCTAAAGACGCCATCAGCCCTTTCAGCTTCAACCTCCTCAAGAACTGCGGCATTGCTGCCAAGACAGCCGCCTGCAGCTCCCTGCCCAACGGGAACAGCTGCCCTTACACCAAGGATAGGCACAATGCCATCGGCTTAGATGGCTGTTATTCGGAATAGCTTAAAAAAAAAACAATGATGGGTGATCTAGTATCTCTTCTATTTATTTAGGAATTCTATCAATATAGGACACTTTAAAGGAGAACAAGACTGGGAACGGGCCTTGTAAAAGGTCCTAGGAACCAAAAAAAAAGGAAAGAGAGAGAGAGAGAGAAAAAAAAAACCCTAGAGAAAATGATCTCAGCTTCTGCATCCTACCTAGATACTTGCTTTGACCACTAGCATTTCTTTTGCTATCACAATTAACAAAAAGAAGTGTGGATTTCCAAACAGATTTGCCCTCTTAAGGCGGTTTTTTTTTGTGTTCAAAATTACTCTGTGAAGCTTTAAAACAAAATCTGCTTGCATTCTTCTTTCCCTTGCTGTTTGCCAAAGGGTATATTGCCCGGTTCTTCGGCGTTCCAATGTTTTTAAACAACCCACCTTTTTCAGTCCAATTCCTCAAGGCTTGATGCTCCGAGTGAAGAGCCAATTAAATTTACTTTAAAATTTACTTTAAATGCATGGGGTTGTGGCAGCAGCCAAAGGACCCAAATTTGATCATCTAGATCAGCTTAACTGTGTCTCCCACACTTCCCCTCTGTCAGGCCACCTTATCATTTGGCATCATTTTTCTCTGGGCCCCTCAAGAGCATAAAAAAATAATTCCGAGGGTCCCAGCAGTATAGGCAGGGAGCAGAAGCCTGAATTGCTGCTGCTGTTGCTTTTTATTTTGCATTTTGAAATGAGGACAGGGAGGTTGATCAAGGAGGGACCGCCAAGAAGGGTAGCAGCTGCTGGCAAAGTGCCACTATCATTGCTTCTTCCCCCAGGGTAACTTTTGTTTGTTCGTTAGTTTGTTGTGCTCGCCCTTTTTGATTCCAGTGAAAAACACTTGAACTGAGAACTACTGTACCTGGCTACTCTGATACTTTAGGCAGCTCATAGTCCCCAAATGCTGTTGCCCAACCAACGTGGTTCCTCTTTAAAAAAAAAAACTTGTGTATGCGCTGCCAGAATTACCCCAACCACATCAGGCACTTTAGGGATCTTCTGTTTTTGGAGGCTGGGTTTTTTTGTTTTGTTTTGTTTTGTTTTGTTTTGGGGGGGAGACGGAAGATTATCGGGGTTGCAAAATGTTGGATCCCCAAAAAGAATTTCTTTTGTGGTTCCCCCTGCCCCCCTCCCGTCTCTGTGTTCTGCAGTGTTTCCCATTAGACAAGTCAGTGTTGCCTAAAAAAGTTATTGATAAAGAAGCAAGCATTTTATCTTTTGAAAAATAGCAAAAAGGAAAGAAAAAAGAAAAAAAAGCTTTCTGCAAGGAGAACAATGCACTTCAGAATCTTACAATCCTACATTTGTATTTATAATTTTCCCCACTAGAATAACATCCAGAAGATTTCATTAGAGTGTGTGTGTGTGTGTGTATGTCTCTGTCCATCCATCCATATGTGGGGCTAGTATGAGAGTGTATTTTTTAATTTTAAAATTCCTATTTATTACACATTTGAGCGTGTGCACTGTTTTTTCTTTCTTTTTGTACTGTAAACTATCATGTGTAGAAACTAACAAAAAAAAGATTACCATATTGCAAAGTATGTTCAAAGCCAAAGATTGGGATGTAGCAATCAAATGAAAGCTGCTGGGGCAAAACGTTTATGACCTAATAATCTTTCCCATCGCTTTCCCAGTCCTGCAGAGCTGCGGTAGGCTTGGGACTGCGTCTAGCAGAACATTTGAATTTTCAGAATGAACTATTCCATCTTTCAAAGAGAAGAGTTGAATCGGAAGTGAGAAAAGATAATGATGAAATAATAAGTGTAGACAAGAGACAAATCCCTTCCTTTTGGCACTGTTTGAATTTACCAAAGCCAAATTCCTACAGCCAAATGACACAGCCACTATCTTGCCCCTTGCCAAACAGTGCATTTTTTAAATGATATGATCACTTTGTTTTTCCTCTCTTTTTATGGAGCCTTCCTCTGCCCCTATCCCCCCCACACCCAGCCTCCCTCCCCCCCTTACGGCTTTCTCAGAGATTTATTACATGCCATTTGAGATCAGTTATTCTAAGCATTTGCTGAATTATTTTGTTTGTTTCCTGCATATGGATAGATTGCAAAAATAAAATAAAAATTGGGGGCCTTAAAAGGTAGTGAATTCTAGTCTTCAAACAAACCTAACAATGTCCTTTGACTAAGCCTTCTGCAGAGACTAGGGCACTACTAGCTTAGCTGTTTCTTCTTTCTTTGATGCCCAAGGAATCTTAATAAATCTTTTCATTTTGCAGCTGCAGGGTAATGAGCGTATTAAAAGTTTCAATGCACTTGCCAAAAAAGCACAGCGGACAGCCTGTTGCAGATTGGCCATTAATGTTTTCACTGCACTATGGTTGGGTTACTTTTCTCTGCCCTCAGTTACTCCACATTCTCTACCTTGAAAGAAAGTGTTAACCTTTCTACACCAAATACCTCACTGTTGGAATAGAAATGAACAAAACTTGAATTAAAGATTCCTCTTCTCCCCCGTCCCCCACTTTTTGACGAGAAAGGTCCTTTTCAGCATCCTGTAGGTGGAGAGCTGAAAACAAAACAAAACAAAAAACAAACCAACCACTTGTTTACATTTTATTAGGTACTAGCAATTTACTTCTTTCAAATTGCCTAATTTTATTTTTAGCCTTCTAAGCGCAACACCCCCCCTCCCCCAATAGAAGGGCAAAGAGGGCATAAGTTGGGAGCGCCAAAGTAAGTGGTGAAGCCACTCTTGGTCATTGTTTGATTTCTTTTCAAGGGCTAAATGAATAATCCTCTAAAGGCAGAAACTGGACGGAGACATTTGTAGGAAAATGGGTGGGGGAAATCCAGTGTTCCTTGCAGTGCTGAGAACTAGGGAGCCTTCAGGTATTCTGTCTCTTTCCACAGGTGCAATGGTTTAAACCCGGGAGGGGGGTGGCGGTGTCCAATCTTGGCAAACTTTTAAGACTTGTGGACTTCAACTCTCAGTATTCCTCAGCCAATTCTGGGAGTTGAAGTCCACAGGTCTGTATTCATCCCAAACCATGGCTTTGTGGCCTGGAGGAATGTGGGCTCATTTTGAAATCCTAGCAGTTTGTTCTTATAGGAGAGAAAAACCCATTCTCCTCCCTCCCCTTTTTTTTTACACTTAATGTGCATTGAATTATAGTTGCTTCTGTAGCAGTTTTTGGAAATGAATATAGCTTGAATGGTTTACAATTTCTACAAGAGGTCTTGAACTATGGAGGTGAACTTCCATGGACCACAGTCCTTAGAGAGCAGAGATGCTCCCTTTTCAGTTTTTCAGTTTTATTGTTTTTTAAAAAGCAGGAATGAAATTTGAAGGAAGGAGCAGAAGCTGAGATACAATCAGCTTTCTGAGATAAGTTTTAGAATAAGAGAATTTCCTAACCCTATTGCCAGATGAATTGGGCTGGCATCAATTTTATTTCTTACGTTACCTCCTTATATTAGAACTGTCATGGGTTTGTGCAGGACTTCTTTTGCTGAACTGATGAAAAATAATCAGGCAGGATCATCTTTTTAATTGCATTCTTGCAAAAAAAAAAAAGGCATTCCCTTTCTTACATTTCACGCTAAAAATGGAAGATATGACAATCAATGTGATCTTTTTAAGGGCTTCAGCGTACGTAGCTCTGTAGCATCGCACATTATATTTCTAGTGTTCCATTTAACTTTTTCCTTAACGATGACAAAAAAAATGGAGTGGAAACAATTCCAGCAGCGCATATCTAAATTGATATATTTTGTTGCTTTTTTAAAAAAACAAAGAAATGGAGGCAGCAGTTGGGTTGGGTATGAAGAAATGTGGCCAGCTCTATTTTAGTTGCCAGTCTTGTTCTCCTTTAATGCTGTAACATGTACATTTTGACAGCACAGCTTGACAGTTTTAAGTAATAATTCAAATGTTTGGTGGTAATAACTTGCATTATTGTGCTAAGATGAGAATTGGTTTTCCCTGGTGCATTGTAAAAGAGGGCTGGAGGCAAACTTCCTTTTTTACTTCCTCTCTTTTCTCCCACCACCCCTTCCCTCCAGTATTCTGCAAGCACATTTGACTTTCTGGTGTGCAGTATTTTACACAGGGTTGGGGGAAAATGGGGAGTGGGGGCAGAAGAGGATCTTGGCTTACAGCTTCTTCCTGTTGCCATCTGGTATAAAATCTATTTTAACTGTGCATCCTTCTTTGCATCTTAGAAGACCTTGCTCCTAATATTTCCGGATGTTTTTTTTTCCTTTTTCACTTGTCTCAAAAAAGCAATCATGGGGCTTCCCTTCTTAACCAATCCAAATAAGGAAGTTTTTCTCCAACCACCTTTCTCTGAAGCACTTGCTTTACAAGTTTTTAAAAAGCACTTTTGTTTAAAAGCATGAGGGTCTGATTCCCCCTTTTATAGCCACCTATAGGAGAAAGGCCAGCAAGGGAATACGGGATCAGGAAAAGCCTATTTTCCTTTTTGTCCCTCCCCCCAATTTTTTAAAAAAATATTATTTTGGTCTGTGTTGGGTGGGAGGTGGGTGATAATTCTTTTAATTTACTTCAGGGCTCTAGAATCATGGTTCTAGGGTTCAGAGAATTAAAACAAAGGGAAGTTGTGTTTTAAAAAATAAACAGCACAAATACATTTCAGCTTGACAAGTGTATTTGCACTGCCATTGTTAGATAAGTGGGCCTTCCGCTGGGAGCCCAGCTGAGCCATATAACTATTGACAAACACTGAATGTAAATGTCCTTGTAGTGGGCAAGTACTGAGAAGCGATAAATTGATCATATATTCCTAAGTGGGCACTTCAGCAAATTTAAAATAATTGATCCTGATAAAATGATGCTGTTCCTTTTTTTTTCTAAAAATGACTCTTTATTTTGTTTACTTTTCCCCAGAGGTTGCTGGAGCTTAAGAAAACCCATTTGTAGCATTGTTATTGTTTATTACTTATACATTTTCTTTGTCCTCTTTCCCCCACCTTGCCCAAGGAGTTCAAAATCATGGGATATAGACATCCCCCTCTAATATTTCTAAAAAGCTGTAATGTAAAAAATGAACTTACAGGATTGGAATCTGTGTCCCTGAAAGTGTTTTGTAGATTAGCACCCACAACCCTTGTATATTATCTAGTCTGGTTTCTTGGTTTGGTACAGTGGATTACCAAAGGGGCCTGTCTCTGGCCAGCTTCTGTACAGACTAAATGTGCAAGAGACTTTGAATCTCATTTAGGGCTAATGCTCACTTTGTGTTGAGAGCTAGATCCAAACATTTTGGCTTCCTTCTGATAGGAATGCGATAGTCAATCCAAGGACATGCCAGAAAACCTTACAGGTAGGCAAATTGGAGTGGAAAGATTCCTCTAAAGACAGGAATTTTTAAACTCCAGCCAGTATAAAGTATTCTGGCATAGCTATGAACCTTAATGTGAGCAATCTTTTTCTTTAAAAAAATCAGTTATTAAAACAGATATCCAAGCAAGTAACCTTCCCTCCTCTCCTTGCTGAGTCTTGGAAAGTATATTTATATATCCCATATTTAACTCTCCCCATTACTCCATGTATTTTTCTCAAACACATTTCCATATCAAATTGTGTAATTCCGTTCTGATTAGCTATTCGCCCAATAGTGCCAAAGAGATTACAAGATTAGGAAGGTGGTGTAGAGAGATTCGGTGATCTTTCATAGCATACTTGGCTTTTTAAAAACAAATTATTTAACCTGTGAGCTCAATTCAGCTTGGTCTTGAGCATATTTTTTATGTGCAGGAAAATGGTGGTGGTGGGGAACCACCATCCGTATTGGAAATGTAAATGTGAAAACCTTGAATTGTTTCATTACTTTAAAATCTTCTCTTGGTGGATTTTGTTTTTTAAATGGGTGCTTCAATATCAAGCATGTAGCATTTGAGAAAAAAATGTGACTTCAGCATTGCTTAACTCCTACAAAGTCCATGTTAAAGAAGAGATGGGGATATATAGATTATTTTTTCCCAACTGAAGCAAGGAGGAATGTTAATTGCAATTGGGATTCTGTGAACTTGGAAGCAATGATTTCATTCGAATCATGAATTTGGGGGACAAAGAAAAAGCTGTTAATGTTGCAAATAGGTAGAAAATATTTTGGGCTGGGTTGGGAGGGGGATAGATCTCTAAAGTCTCCCGTAAGGCATCTGTAGCAAGTTCTTAGTGTCTTTCAGTGATCTATGTGTAAATGCTGCACCGATGTATATTATGCACATAAAAACATTTCTTTGAATAAGATAGGACAGACCTCATCTCCAGTCAGGTATAAACTATTCTTCCTCTTTTGTGTGTTGGTTTCTCTCTCTCTCTCTCTCTCTCTCTCCCTCTGTGTGTGTGTATATGTGTGTGTGTGTGTGTGTGTGTGTGTTTGTGTGTATACCTGTATGCGATGAGCATCTTTTCAAATTCACTTTTGGTGCAAAAACAAAAGGGATGAAAAAGAAAAGAAAGAAAAATAGCCTTACTTTTAATTCCAATCCTATCTTAGTTTGTCAACTTGAATATAATAAAGCAGAATTGCATGGAAGTCTTTGAAACTAGCTGAGCCTCGTGTGCACGGTGAGTGGCAGTAAACTTTTTTTCTAAACAAAAAATTAGTATGCAATTTCAGCCACACAGCTTTTGGAAAAAATCCCTACGTTTTGGTTTTGGTTTTTTAAGAATGGCGCGCGGGGGGGTTGATTATACCAGCTTGTGCCTGCTTTGCCTTCTGAAAAACTTGGGAATTTGTTCCCACTTGTTCACCCTTCATGCTGACCAGAAGAGAGATTTCATAAAGAACCTTACATTGTATTTTTTTTCCTCATGAAACCAGTGTTTTCCAGATGGTAGTAAGACCTTAGATAACCTCTTTGGACATCAGGGGTACTGACAATATAGATTAACAGCATGTTTAGTTATTGGCGATGATATCATGGGGTGAGGGGTGTTAGGGAGGAGAATAAGGATAGATAAATCAACAGATGGTTCAGATTATCTGCTTTCTAAGGTAATGCCCTAGGGTTGCATCCTGTTTGGCCTGCATAAATGATTGCTACATTTTAGATATACCTGCATTTTGCACTTCTATCAGCAGTAGGGAAAAAGGCCAAAAAATGACCGGAAGGGTAGAAATTACTCTAGTTCAGGGCTGTCAAACTCGCAGCCTGTAGGCCAGATACATCACAAATTTGATAACCCTGCTCTAGTTGGCCTTTTGACCTGCGCAGTGCATATATGAATCTATTGGGTAATTTTTGTCCCAGGCATTTGGTTGCAGCACTGTAAATCTTGGATCCCTTCTTTCAACTTGATTATGAAGAGAAAGAGAAAGGTTAGTTTCAAGTTCCGCCTCTTTAATTAGGGTTTGTCAATGTACAGCTGTCCCCCTCTAAATTTACTATTCTTAACAAGCAATCCTCTATGATCATTTATTTGGTATCTGAAATTTGCACTAATCAATTGAATCTCTTAGGCAAAATTGGAAATAGAGGCATTAACCAGCAGAGCACACTTAAAGAGATAAGAAGTTGGAGATAAAAGATCAAAACCAAAGGGAAAATTGGTACTGTGGGTTTTTGGAATTTGACACAGAGAAGAGACTTCTATAATGTGTTGGGCATCTTGTAGACAACATTGAGTGGTTTGGGCTCACTTTTTTAGAATCCCGCAGTGTACCAAAGTAAACTCTCTTTATACTGACAAAAACAGAGGCTCTCACTTTAAAATGAGAGAACCAGAAGAGATCATGGTCAAAGGTAAGATTTGGAAACATAGCTTTATGGACTAAAGGTCACTAGGGCATTATTGGATTGTGTTAGTTGCCAGTTATTAATATTTTGAAAGGCATTTTTCGTTGGTCCACTTGAAGATATTTATTGAAATGGCTGCTGATCGTTTTGTATGCATGTCTTTACTTGAATGTTTTGGAAAAATAATAGTGAAAGGAAGTTCCTGGAATACAATTGCAGTTAACCTAGGTGTTATTTCAGCATCTCTGGCTTGCTGACATTGGAGTAGGGAATGAGTAAAACTGAAGGAAATGCATTTAAAGGCAGCCTGCCGGCATTTCTCTCTTTCCCTGCTTCTCTATCTTGAGATTACTCTTTTGGCACTATCAAACTGACTTCTGATTCTTTTAGAAAGGGAGAATGTTAATCCAGGCAGCTAGATTTCAAGGTAGAAACTGAAACATATATTGTATTGAAAGAATACT